AGAAAGAGAAAGAGAAAGAAGGAAGCATGCATCATGGCAAGGGTTGAAACTTCTGGCAGGCAGCAGCAGCTTTCGGTCACTGAGTGACAAGGCTCCTCATGGCTCACACTGAGATGACAGCAACCAGGCACGGTCTGACCAGGACGACTTGACCAGGCACATGTCTTCACCCCGCACTCTCGTCCCTCTCCTGTATGATCCTAGCGCTCTTGCCAGTCCCCAAAGACAGGGCTGAGGACGCTGGGCTTCCCCTGTCCCTCCCAGCCAGGCCAAACTGAATGACTTCCTTTTCCCTTTCCCCACCATTTCCTGCTTGGTGTCCAGCGTGAGGAACTGCACCTGGTCTGTTGGAACCCCAAGAATGAGGGCTCCCCAGCCTAGGACTCCAGTATTAGTTACTAAAGAGAAGTCAGGTGTTACTTTTAGTCCTGTCCCTCCATGGATAAGGGCTTTCCCCCTCTGGCTGCTTCCAACATGTTCTGTCTTCGGCTTCCTGCAGTTTGCGAATGGTACATCTAGGTGGAAATTATTTGATGTTTGCTGAGCTTCCTGAATCTTTTATTTTTTTTTTTAGTTGTTGATGGACCTTTATTTATTTATTTTTACGTGGTGCTGAGAATAGGACTCAGTGCCTCACCCACGCTAAGCAAGCACTCAGCCCCAGCCCCAGCCCCTGAATCTTTTTTTTTTTTTTGTCTCATTAATATTAGACACAGAATTCTTCACCATTATCACTTCAAGTGTGTCCTCTGCTCTACTCTCTCTTTCTTCTCCTCTGATATTCCAATAATATCTCTTGGCATCAACCCAGCCGTCTTGGGTATTGGATTCTGTTTTTCCTTTCTCATTTTCCTCCTTGCATTTCGATTTGAAACATTTCTGTGGATGTAGTTCAACCCACTGATTCTTTCGTTGGCCATATAAACCCACCAAAAGAATTCCTCACTTTGTTACAGTGGTTTTGATTTCTAGCATTTCACTGTTCATTATTTTTTGAGTTTTCCTCTGTCTGCTTTCTCCACCACTTATTCTTGCACTTGTCTGCTTTTTCCTTTAGACCCTTGACATATCAGCTACAATCATTATGTTACATCCCTACCTAATAATTTGAAAGTCTCTCATAACTGAGTCTGATTTTGATGGTTGCTGTGTCTCTTCAGACTATTTTTTCTTAAATAGCCTGTTTTCTTAAATAACATGATAAAACATTCAGCATATTTTATCTTTTATTTTTCCAAAAAATATCAGACACAATGAATTCAGTCATAGAAATCCAGGTAAATGAACCATTAATGTGAGGTTTCATGCCCATCGGTGTTGGGGACCACAATTCTCTGCCAGGCGCCATCTTGACTTGATTCACGGTCCCCAACACATTGGGTTGGATGATGGGCTCTATTGAATGTTGGTTCTCCCTGTATATGGCAGAGATTTCAAATTCCTCTGGAGTTCTTGTTCTTGTTTCCTCTGTTTTCTGTGGATTTCCCAAGAGCTTTTTCTTTTTATTAAAATTAAATTATTTATTTATTCTAATTTGTTATACATGATGGCAGAATGCAATTCATTTCATATTACACATATAGAGCACAATTTTTCAAGTCACTGATTGTACAAAAAGTATTTCCACACCATTCATGTCTTCATACCTGTACTAAGGGTAACAATGTCTAACTCATTCCACTATCATTCCTACCCCCTTGTCCCCTCCTTCCCCCTCCTTCCCCTTTGCCCTCTCTAAAGTTCCTCCCATGCTCAGCCACCATCGCCATTATGAGTCAGCATCCTCATATCAAAGAAAACATTTGACGTTTGGTTTTTTGGGATTGGCTTGCTTCACTTAGCATTATATTCTTCAATT